AGGCCATGCCCGATTAACTGCAGGGAAATTCGAAAGACATCAGAAGGAGGGATTTATTCTGTCCCAGACAGTGCTACCCGCCGGCGAGGTCGGAGCACATGCCGACAGTTACAGGGTGTGCGAATCTCAGGTGTGAATGGCTGTTGGGTGTTCGTGGGAGCAAATTCAGACGTCCGGTGTCCAACGGGCGTGTTGCGTTAGACGAGACAGAAACGACTGCCGTTGTCTGGATGAGTGTGCGTGTGTTTGGGGAAGTGACCAGTAGACTGAAATATCCTCGACCCTACAGGACTTTGAACGGAGGCGGCGGAGTGTGCAGTTGACTACCGAGGAACTGTCTTGGTAAGGTCTGGTGCAATCTTCTCCACAAAAAGGCTCATTTGATCAACGCAATGGTTGCTCAATTATATGTATTCTTCAAGGAGCCAGATGACTCGGTGATGCTTCTTCAGCATAGACAAATTGGTGTCAATTATTCGAGCTCAGCCGTTAGCATACCAGTTAACTTACGACCCACTGGTGGTACTAACGGAACTGGTAACCACTGAACTTCAAAAGAATATCAAAGTTTTAAAAAAGCAGGTACTACTTTGTGTCTGATATAAGCACTTTAAACAATACAAAAAGAAGTATACAGTTTAAAGTGGAAACGGTGATCGATCTAGGTTCATAAAACCGTCCAAAACGAAAAAATGGCCCTTTCGAATAAGATAGCCTGAGTGGAGGGCCATTCGCCTCAAGGAACTAGTAAGAACAGGTTTAACCACGAATACGGCTGTTTCTGTGACTGTATGCCCGAAATACAAGCCAAAACCCTGCAGCTCGATGAGGTGTTCTGTGCTGATATTACGGGATGCAAATCCAGTCGTTGTTAAAGGCAGCATCGAACTGCCAGCAGTAGGGGGAGGGGGGAGAGGAATGCACAGGGATGGGCAGTTTGCGGGCCTGGGGGCGCTGAGTGTGGAGAGTACTCGACAGCCGTTGAAGATGGCTGGCCGTGGTCGCTACATGAGGCGAAGGATCACAAATAGTAACATTTCCTCAAGGATCAGAAACCAGCACAACTAAAACGTAGGACTTGCCTCCTACACCAACGGTTTTGGGGTTAGAGTGCGCTCTGAGACGGTGGCTAGTGGCGGTGTACCAGTGGACGCAATGACGCCCCCCGGCTACTGGGCAGTCGCTCCACCGACGTCATCTTGCAGCACAGCGGCCCCCCTATCCACTGCGCAGACGCCCCCGAGCTTCGGGCTCGAAACTGTCCGACTGCGCGAGCAGAATTTACGATCTGTCAGCCTTGTGGACTGTCGCCGTCATCTGCAAGATTAACGCTGTGTTGGGGACTGAGAAATGAGCATGTTCGGGTCGTTAGGAAATCAGGGGCACCAAAACGACGGTCTGTTCGCTACTGCTTCTAACTCTTAAATAATCAACTTCTGCCTACTTAGAAAACGAGTCTCCTTTAGTGTACACTTATGAGTGTTCATTAAAGTTGTTGGCATCTTTCTTCTAGACTGATTTCCTCCCCGCCTCTCGAGTTAGTTTAGCAGCAATGCACTTTTTGCTGAAGACAAAGGAAACAGAAGGAAGTTGGAATCAAAGCAGAACACATTTAATTGCAAATTTGTCGGAATTTTTAATCCCGCGGTTTGAATGGCTTACTTGCTATACTGTAAAGAAGATGGACGCGCGGTCATTGGGACAGCACGTGTGTTAGTCCGAGTTTTCAGTCTCTTACAGGAAGCCATCGTCGGAGACTGTGAGAGTGCGGCGTCGAATGAGCAATTTAGTAGTCAAACAAAGAAGGGGTTGCTATATGTCAATGCAGTAAATCTCCTCACCCGAAAAACGTATTTACCAATTATGTATGCTTATTCTGCCATTCCTCTATGCATGCATAGGCCCCGCCCGTACAACCCCTACTACCACCTTTCCCGTAAGACAGGCACCTTTGGCTGGTCGCGTGTGTTTAGGGTCCTTCACCCGATCATTGCCTTCCACGCCAGCTTCATCCACGGCCCTTCACTACAGTTGTCCACAGCACTGCATCCCAGCACTTCGTAGTCCAGCAGACGTTACGAAAGCATTCCCCACTCTAGGTGGGGTATTTGTACATGCAGTACCCATCTCCCTCAATCTCAGCCAACCGATTTATCGACCTGGCGTCAGCTTACAAAGTTCTACGTAGTCACCTCCAGTCTTGCGCCGTCGGTCAATAATAGGCCTACAGGCCTTATAAATGTCGCTTGTTCTGTTGCTGCTACTGTCTCTGACAATGGACTTGAAGTAAATGGTAATGTACTCATGAACTAACAAGTTATATCTCACGAGTCCATAGCCTTAAAGACAGCAAGTTAAACTGAGCAGTGAATAATATAGACTCTGAACGTTAAGTAACCTGACAACAGAGCGCGACAGCAAAGCAGGCCCGCAAGGTGGCTTGTAAAGGTGTGTTGTAATTCGCCACATTCAGACAAGCAATCCGGTCAAAGAAAATAGAACTAAATTGTCAAAGGTAAATTAGTCCGGTACCTCGCCACAGACTCTTGCACGAGTTGGAAAGCTCAGAACAATAAACAGACATGTTCCGGGGTCGACCTTTCTTCCTCTTTTTCACACGAGGATGACTGGACAGCTATGCCCACCACCTGTGTACCTATCCGGAGCGCAAGCGCATCTACCGGCAGTTAACCAGGTGTCAGGGGACCGCCAGCGAATACCAGGCTGCGAGGGCCATGGTTTCCTGACACTGGCATAGTACGCGCTTTCAGACCTTTTGACCAGGCCGGAGTGCCATAACGCATCAATGAAAGTGACACTCACCAATCTATTCTAGCTAAACTCCCAGTGATCCACTGGGTTCAGGCTCGAATTTCGGATGCTCCGGCCGAAGGCACCAGGAAAGATTATCAAGAAATTCGTATATTTTATCCATCCCGCGTATTAATCCAGCCCTTCGTTTATGATTAAAAGCTCTTTGAAGATAGGAGTCTTGTGATTAAGCGTTATTTGGACGCTCACACGCAGCTGAGGCGCGTTTGTAAAACCACCTCGTCAGTATATTAAGTCAATGAATGCTGCGGCTCTTCCATCTGTTTACTGCCTATAGCGCCTATTCTGAACGACGTAGCACTACCGCATAGAAGATCTACTCCTATGCGCTAACCCACCTCTTTGGGATGAAGGGTGAAAATTGACAGTCGGGATCATAGATGTACCAACATTCCCGCCACTGCGTCTTGTCTTACTAGCAGGCCAAGTGGGGTGTCCAAAATTGCGGTCCCGGGGGGGGGGGGGTCGTTTAGCCAGTCTAGACAGAAGGGAACGCTGGTTCCCCCATGGCGTCAGACACTCGCACATGCTGCAACTGAACTGGTGCAAAAAATCCGTGGGAAACTCTTCAGCGTGGACCACTCCATTTTGGGGGAGTAATTTCACTCCGATGAATCACGTGCGGATGCACATCAAATGAGGGCAAACTCAGTCGGCCAAAGCTGTGTCATTTGATCGCATCCAATCATCGACAAATACTCGTATAAAAGCGGGCGCATCTTAATTAATCATGTACACTGCGGTCGGAGTTTCCCCACGTAACCAGAGATATGGAATTCAACACCCGATAACCCAATAGCTACACAACCTAATGACCAGGCCTTGAAATATTTCACATACGCCTACTAATTACTAGGTTTACACTTGTTACCACAGAGCATTTCGGCCGTGACCACCCAACTTCGCCTAGACGCAACAATGCAATTCCGTTCCGTATGAACGATCGGTGAGCGCCCCTCTACCACTGTACATTCCCGATCAAATCCGACAGGACAACGAGCCCATGGCTCAGTGGTTGGAGGTGTTGGACTTCTAACTAACAGGTCGCGGGATTGAGCCCCTGGTATTTCACACTCTAGGGTTGGGTATGACCAACGACGGCTAATAAGTCAGAAATTGCCATTCCAGTCTTCTTTGTCTTTGTCGGTAATAACATTCTGCCAATACAATTCCTTCCTCCGGCAAAATGCCTATTAGCCTTACGCGACCTCTAATTATACATGACGTAAGTCAGAGGCTAGCTCTAGTAAACAACGACGACGGCAAACTGGTGACTGCGCGGAAGTTACTGGTCTGAATGTTGTCTGGGACACGCAGTGATTGGTCAGAGTTACGAGGGTGCTCAAAACAAACATAGACCATAGACACTCCACCTTAAGAGCTCCATCCGAAGTTTAGGACTGAGGGGGGGGGGGGGTGCAATAGTAACTCAAGATTTATTTCGAAATCAAAATATACTTAACTGGCGCAGTAAAATACATAGCTGGCAAAGTCATGCAGGTATTTCGCAAAGCGGTCATCGCCGAAGACGCAGGAGGCAAGAGAAATTAAAGAAGAAGTAAACTTGACTTAAGCGCGTGGACCAGAGGATGAAAGACGATGCTGGACACAGTTTAAACCGCTCGTATACGTTGTTCCATTATATGCATAAAGTATACATACATATATATGGGAAAGGACTGATTTGGGGAGAAGAAGGAGAGGCGTTGTTTGCACTTGTCTACTTGGGTTTCATAGTAAAACTAAAAAGGGATCAAAAGCCGGACTCACACACAGAGGACTCTGGAAGGAGTGTGATAAGCGAATAAAAATGCCCGGAACATTTGTTCGAAACAGAGCGTCTCCGTCTGTCTAATCGAAAACGGAGACTGCAGCAACTGGTGCTATTGAAGGAACAGGAGAAGTCGCGAAAAGGACACCCGAAAAAGCATGGGCTGCCTTTCAGTCATTTGCATGCGTGCCGCTCGAATTCAAGGAGGGATAGATCTCGACGGCGCAAAGGGCAAAATCTTCGGCGATGGGAAGGGATTTGGTCTGACAAAGCCGATTTTTACAGAAACGCAGGTCTGTTCTGAGACGTAGATCGGGCCTGGGAGAGGAGGAGACGAAAAGCGAAAAAGGATGAAAAGAGAGAGAGAGAAAGAAATAGGGCTGACGAGACGATGTCATCACACAACGGGCAAAGCCAGAGCATTGTTGCGGGGTGCACCAATCAGCTTGTAGAAACGAGCTTCGTCCAATTCCTGACTCTTTGTGGGGGAGCGGAGACTGAGGAAGACATTGGCTCCCAAAGCCTCGGCAACCTTCTGTACGGTCACCTCAAGCGGCCGAATTATGACACGTCCACCCCGCGGCTCACTGGCGGGGCTTGTGGAGCCGGCTGCTGCGACATCCTCGGGACTGGGTGCCAGCAACAGGACGAGTTCGTTGAGTTCACGATTGACGTGCCAGCCCTGGACGCTGTCTAGACGCCAGGCGGCGTGGATTTCGCCAGTAGTCTGGTCGTAACGCGCCACACGGCCGCATCCGATGCCCACAACCTCGGGTCGTCGGCTCACTGAGACGGTGACTTGTCGAGAATCCGGATCTGTGCTCAGTTGCTGGTGATGGATTTGACCGAAGGTGGTGGTGGTGGCAGAGTAGGAGTAGAAGCGGACTGCACCGTCAGAGTCGGTTTGCGGGGGTAGACCAAGAGCCGCCCCCAGCGGTACAGTGGTCTCGAAACGAGCCAGAAAGTAGATGACTCCGTTGCCGGTGAGTTGTTGCCAGCGCGAAATGTACTGTAGTTTGAGCTCAATGGGTCGAACTTCGGAGAGACGACTACGGACGTTAAGGATCTGTTTTGTGATTCGAGCGTGCGACTACAAGGAGAGTGAGAGTCGGAGAGGAGGAAAATTTAAGCCGTGAGTAGATGTTTAAAAATCCTGACGAGACCAAAAGCCCCTAGTTAATTTCTATGGCTGCAGGATATGAGAAAAAAATTAATTCGAACAGCGTTTGCAAAGCCGGCAGTTGGGCAAAGTACAGTGCGTGACCTGTCTCACGAAACCCGATGACAGAAACTGATACGCTATTCATTCTTTTGCCCGTTCATTAGAAAATTACGTCTTCTTTCAATTTTATACTCGAAGAAACGTTTTCATTCGGTTTTCAAAAACATTTCCAATTCCCGAATAATTTCGAATCCGACTTGCCGTCACACTTAAATTCAGGGTTTCCAAACTACAAGCACTCTATTTGGCGCGCACGGATAACCATACATTTCTCACAGTAGTAAGAAGAGATCATATGGGGTTCATAAAATTTGGCAGTGGACTTGAGCCATATTGTTAGCTTTACAAGCCATATTGGTAAATGCGGAGACCTGGCGTTTTATGAACGGCCATTTCACGGTATTAAAAAATCTCACAGTTAGAAACTTTTTTAAAACCGCATTTTACCCTGCTTTCGAGTATAATGTTGGAAAAAAACGTGACTTTCTACCGGATGAGCAGAAAGATGTATATTTTTACGCATGTTTTCCATGCAAAATAACTGGATTTTTAAGGGCATCGAAAATCATTGAGGGTAATGCATGCTACATAAGTAGTCAGGTTTTACAGAGTGTTGTTTTTACATGCAGCAGCGAAGATGTTCGTTCAAAAGCCGGCATCCTGTCGTAACTGAATAATTATAGACTATGCTGCATAATTATTAGTTTTACAACCCCATTCAATTAATCTTTTCAAAATAAAAAAGCATTTCGTAGTTTCGTTAACATTTCACGAGTTAGCCCTCCTACTGTATACTCATAACGTGGGCTGTTTGAAAACCGCCGTACCCGAAATTACACTATTTCTTGAATGGTATTAGATTTAGATTTCACTAAGGCGCTATTTTTAAGCGTTGTTTTATTTCTGACGTCATATTTACCCATTTTTTGCGTGGACAGATATTCAGTACATCGAAAAGAGATGTTTACATGATTACAACCATTTGCTTCTCTAAAAAATTGGTACTGCTAAACAACGTAACATTTCTGTTATGTTTTAATTTCCTTAAAATTGGCATTTACTAACATCGGATTTTAAGCCCATGCATTAGCGTCGGTTTACAAGTGATCAACGATCGTTCGTAAGTTTCGACGCCTCTCATGTGATAGGTCCCAAACTGTAACAAAACTCTAAGCAATTTTCTCTAGATCCGCCGTAAACTACCTCACAAACTCCGGTCGGTATGAACGTCTTATGCTTTAGCTGATCTTTTTCTAATCAGATCTTTCCAATAAAGCAGATTTGATAACATAGAAGTCCTTATCAAATATTTTTTATCGAGGCGCATGAGATTATGCTCCTAGAACTTTGGTTTCAATTATTAGTTGACATTCACAACTTTCAACGCCTTAACATGTTTGTGTTGGTTTCGAACGCGATGTGCTTTGCCGGTAGATACTGCCTCTGGTATGACATCTTGCCTGGGGGTATGGCGAATCCAAATAGCCTAATGTAAGTATTCAATTCAGACAGTATTCATTTGATTAAAGTAGTCAAATAAAAACTTCGTCTGCACTGATGGACGAATTTAGAAATGATGACAGAGATTAATTCCTTTAAAAAATTATATCACTAGAAAAAACCATGCTACAGGTAGGATCGTCCTAGGTATCTGGGACGAATTTCCACAGGAATTCAGCCTTCAGCGATATATTAACTAGCCTAGCATGATTTTACAGAATTGGCAGTAGTTATTGCTCAGGAAGTACTTTATGGCTTTACTTGATGCTAATGATTTCAGCACATTTTGAATGTCATCGGTGCGCGTAGCAGGACAAGCAAAACCTTTTTTTGTGCCGGAAGACGCACTAACTCTTAGAAAAAAGACCTGGCATACGTACGAGAGGGTGCACCTTCATACACTGGTCATGTGGTGTTTTTCACAGTGTACTTTAGCCTTAAGGTCTATGCGTACCCAGGTAGTAGTGGAATGTACGCAGTTATTCCTGTAATATTCTACAAAGTCTTCCACAAAAGTAGCTAGGTCAAGTGCTAAAACACATTCGAATAGGTGCAAAAACACGAAATATTTGGCTCATTTTTTGCCAACTGTAGAGTATCCGGAGTTACTGTCGCAGCGCCGCTGAATCTTCCATCCAGACGAATAATGTTTCAGGTGCCACAGAATCCATGCGTTGGAATGCGCACGTATTTCATGCTTCAGCTGACCCTTTCCAAAACAGTGATGCCCTCCCCAACAGACCCGTATTTTTCAAACGTAATTGAGGGTGTACGACCCCACGTAGCAAGCAACTAAAGTTCCGTGTGAATGCAAACATCACTTATTACTCGCCGTTCTTATTAGTCAAAATTTCCCCGGCTTCTTGACTTAGCGTAAACTTGCAGGCGGCGGTTGATTCAGAATCCGTTATGCCAAGGGTATAGAGAAGGACCCCACATAACTGTCAGTAGACTGCGATTCGTGGTAAAGGGCGTTTTGTGGGTGGGGCAGCACGCTGGACAGTAAGCTGAAAAAATGGAAGAAAACACAGAAATTGCATGGATTTATACCGAAAGTCCTGTGCTACGATATTGTGCGGCAGCGGAAATGAGAATAGTAATTAAACAACAACCAAAAAGTAAATTTTACAAAGTCGCTAATCTCAAGTTAAGGTGTGAGGTCGTGGGGAGTAAGTGTTGTTGGCAGTGTAATTTCTGCAACAGCCTGCAAATGTATGCCAAGATACAACCGCATACGACACGATCAGCAGTCTACTGATAGCTAAGTGGGGCCCTTTTCTATACCGTTGTCTCCGTTATTTTTAAAATTGCTCTTTGTCTATTTTTTAAATTGTCGTGCCCACTGTCTTTGATATATGACAGCATAGCACAAGAAGCACGGCAGTAACTTATTTTTTTTCTGTATCTTCTTGCTCTCCGTCCTGTGTGTTACGCCACCCGAAAAACCCAGTCTACCACCAGTTAACATATGACACTAACCACAGGCAACCCCAAGTCAGTTGGAGTCCTACCCTCTGCCATTGGCGTAATTAAAAAGAAAAGGCTGTTAGGCTCATCACCCCATGAAGCCCACCACTAGAAAATTGAAAAAATCCGTAGAAAATAACTGAGCTTCGCCAAGCCGACGCAAGCGCACTTGTCACTTTCAATTGGGAGAGAAAAGTCAATTTGTGGGTAGCATCAGATAGTGTGGGCAGAGATTATCCCTTAACAAGATTGTTAACCGACTGTGGACAATGCGTGGGCATGTATGCTGGAAAGCCCACGCTCTTGTGGGGGTTTTTCTCCTCCAACGCTAACAGAAGAAGCACTTTATGTTAAGGGAGAGGATACGGAAAAAGTATGGGTGTGGGAACTGAGTAACTGTCCTAAAACCCAATTTGTTCGCACGTTCTTGTCTTCGTGCGCGCGCGCGCGCGCAAGAAACTAGGCACGACGTGAGGTTAAATCCGGACTGCGAGTTGTTAGTGGTTAACGTCATCTGGTGAGAGCGTGCTTCTCCGCGCTATCCCTATCGACTGGATCACAACTAAAGTAGGGCTTTTTAACCCGCACGGTGGGTGGTAAGGGCAGTAACGGGAACTTATTAACTGCCCATGTCAACTTGTAGGGCATCTTATTGAAGTTGGTTCTTACCATCATCGCATAGCGTGAGAGAACTTTTTCAAGGTGCCATCTTACAAAGGTAGTTTGAACTGGGTGCATCCGTCTGTGGGCAATTCCTGTAAGCCTATCGATGAGTGCGTGGGGCAGTGGCATACAGTGTGCGCCGAAGCTCTCGAACTAACGTGACTACCTGTGTGAGATTGCAGAAGCATGAGAAGGGGATAAAATCGCAAACCAGTTTGTAAACTGAAAAAAATGTTGGGTTTCTTAGAGGTCATATTCATGCCACCTGCGCCGTCCTCACCAATTACAAATCACTTGAGATAATTTGACTCCGGAAATTATCGATGCTCGTGTGGAACTTCTCTGGGTTTCCCAAAAACTAACAAAACATTGTCCAGTGGGGTCACATTGCGAGAGCCAGCATCTCCTCAGTATCTACTGACCAAAAGAAAGGCATAATGTGAATTCTGAATTGCGGTTCATTCGAAGAGAACCGATCACGCATTCAAATTTGACGAGGTTGAAATTCTCGCTAGAGGTGACAACCCCGTAAGCCGCGACTTGCTTGAGTCATAGTTCACTGGCTCCCAGTCCATTAGCAAGTGCGATGACCTTCCTCTTCCATATTCAGTGCTGAGATTTCTCCTAGGCGGAGTAATTGGCCGCGCCGGGGGCGCAGAGGTGAACACTTTTCCCAACACCATGGTCGGTGCGTCAGATGGTCGAGCAATCATCACACCAACATCCAACGTAAGTGATGAAAATTGCAGCAATTAACGACGCGAATGCCGGCCATCAAACAGTCAGCACACCATGTGCAACGATCCCGGAGGAAGAGGAGGTGGGAGCCGTGTATATTCATAGGTATGCGGTAGCATGGCGACTGCATCCTATAAATACTGCAGCCTCTTTTGCTTGAACCACCCGCATCTGCTATTGTCTCTGATGATGGATTCGAGCAGAAATCAAAAACGTCAGGCGATCGCGTCAACTTCCCACACTTTTGGCATAACCGAACTTTCGAGAGGTCTTAGAAGCTTCCGCCTTAAAGTCACAAAAGACTTGTCAGAGTCAAGTTAATACAATACTTTAAGTAACTACCCAGGAACGTTACAGAACCTCTAACATAGGCGATCCGTAATAAGGACTTCCAACTTCGCACACAGACCCGATTAACAAATGACTATCAAAATTATCGTATCCTCAGACAGCATGGGTTGGATTTCCATGTTGTTAAATGCATATGCAGCAATGATCATGCGTCGACCGGCGCCGACTGAGGAGTGTAATAAGCTCGTGCTTAAAAAATGCTAGGCTGGATGGAGAGACTGCAGTAAAACTTTTAAAAGCAAGATAGGTCTTCAGAAAGTTAAAACGTCAGTCTGTAATCGCAGTGACAGATCGCTGTGGACTGGTAGAAAAGTAGGATGAGACTCGACCGACGAAGCAAAAATAGTTTTCGCATGACGTTCCAAACCCGCTCTCAAAACCAACATGAGAAGCAGCCAGCGGGGCGGGGGTTCTAGTATCTGCAGTCATTACACTCATCGTAAATATTCGTACAGGATGTCATGACGACCCTTATTTCAGTTGTTAATTTTCGTGAGTTAACCGCTGGTGTTGTTGTTGGGCGGGATAGTTATGCGATTGCTGGGTTCACTAGTAGGGATACTGGAAGCGTTCGTCCACGTCCTCCTCGCGCGAATAAGCAACCGGCCCAGGCGAAGTTTTACCCGGAATAAGAACAAAGGGGGTAGACAATCTTGATAATTTATAGACTGCGAGACGACGAACACTGAATGGGACAGTCCGCTGTGGGCATGGTTTTCAGCTGTCATGGAAATTCCGGCCTGGTTGAACGTGGAGGTGCATCAGGTTCCAGTCGAATGTGTCGCGACTTGAGAACTGATATCAGCCTTCCCCATTGTTGACTCGTGACTGGTCGTCGACGTTCGGAGTAATCTTCCCCTTTCTTCGACATGCTCAATTTACCGGATTCAACAAACGCCTCCAGGCGTTTCCTGTCATAGCAGCGGGTATTTCGGTTTCATCGATTGGTTGCTTACGAGCAGCGCGTGAGTGCGACTGACGGCCTCCGAGACGTTCTTGGAAGTGCTCAGGGGAGCGTGAAATCGTCATGCTTTGATCTCCCATCTCGTCTATAAACGTATCAGCTGACTAAGTTGCCTCCGTAGCCATTCGCCCTGAACAACCGGCAGAGCTGTTGTACTTCGAAAAATGTGTCCTCCCTGTCGCTGTAATACGTCTAAAAGCGCATCTTTGTTTATGGCCAACTCAGCCGTCGTCGTGGAGGCACAGGGCGTGTTTTGGAATTCCCACTTCCTCGGAGAATAATTTTAATGTCACCAAAAGCTTTACGACAGACAATGATATCAGGGAAAGCTGGCAGTTGTTCCCCTCTCCCCACCATCGCAAATTGTACGTCCGAGAAGACGGCGTTGGGATGTTATTTGGGCGTCAACTCCTGAAGGATTCATCTCTATTCCAAGCCCAGAAAACCAGTGACTCCAACTGTTTCATAACCACACCAGCAGTAAGTCCAAAAGTCGAAGAGAACGTTGGCATACTGTTTACTTGCTCGCCGGCTTTTCAGTCAGACTTGAAATCCATTTGGAGACAGGATCCGTTGACTCGGGGGTTTAGGCGCGTCGGATGTAATCCTAAATTTTCTCGTAATTGCTTTGCTGGAGTAATTCGGCGGTGTCAACTGCCAGATACTGAGAAATAGAAGTAAGGAGGAAGGTGTGCTCGAAGGCTACCACGACTTCTTTTGGCAGGTGACTTACTCTTTAGGTTTCTCCAAAAGTGGTGTTGATGAAGTAATCGTGATATCTGAACCAACAGTCAGAAATTCGAGGCGATGAGACAGCTAGAGCACCAGTTCTAAATTTGGAGCGTCTCAAATGAACTAGAGGGGGTTGCCCACTTCGTACATCATGGGAAGGCCAAAAAGCGGACCAGTCGCCGGTCAACCGGCAACACTGGATCCAAGTTTTCCAGAGTCAATAATTTCGCAGTAATCTCGTACGATAGCATTTTTATGGGATTGGGTTCGCATGGGACATTGAAACAAGGAATCCACCAATAGGGTCTTCGCAACCTGGAAGCAGTCTGTTCGGTTCAATACGACATGGAAGCGACTTTGTCAACTTTGCGAACAGCCCCGAGTTCCTTCAGCCTACCACTTTCGACACTGGGGATGACTCCGTGTCCTCGCAGTCATGAGAAATGGAGACACTGGACGTCATGTAGGGTTCTTTGTTCCCTCCGCCGCTTCCGACCGACTGAGTGCTAACTCCACGGCTGCGATCAGGCTAACGTATTTGAAGTCAACTTTACTGAATGAGACATCAGACCGCAGCATCTGTCCTTATGATTGATGAACGACTCGAGAATGAGCCCGAAATGTCCGACAAATGAAATCCTTGTTTCATCTGTCGAGTCTTGATTGCAGAGAGGTGAAACCTTTTCGCAAGCATGGAGTAGTGAAAGTGAATTTTGGGAGTCCAGGATCTGGGAACAAATGCAGTGCTCAGAAACTGCATCCTGTCGATACAGGCCCAGTTTCCAGAAGGGCATTGGTAAGGTGCATAAAAGCACTGGGCGTCAGCGGACAAGGCAGACGCTGTGATGAGCATAAAATCTGGAGTTAACTGAACAGTGGAGGACGGGACTAAGTGACAAGCCCGGAAGGCCAACGTCGCCAATTTCAAACCCTTTTTTACATGTTTAAGATACATACTCCCGTTCACGACCCAGAATAGCTTTGTTGGACGCCTTCGCACAAATCGGCGTGCGGACGGACGCCTTTCGCCGATAGGCCAAATAGCAACCTCAAGTTTTCTCTAATACCGCAACAGCCCACCATTCAGGCAAAGGAACTGACGCAAGGAGAGAGAGAGATGGAGGTAGATAGATGCCTCGAACCTCCTCCTTTCCACCGTCAAGAATGCACTCGCAAGTCGTGGCTCTGGTCGCAGGAGACTAGGGCATTCATCGCGCAGTCACACGCATTAAAAGCATTGATCATTAACTGAATCTGGAGGCTTGATGGACAATAAAAAAGGATTCATTAGAAGTAGCCTCTAAATGACAGTCAAATCACAGCTGATTTTGCTTGTTCGTAGTTGTCCGGATAAGGAGTATATCTCAATGAGAAATAGGGCCTGCTTTAATTTTTTAAACGACACCACGTTAGAAGTTACCATACTCATCCGACTCCTCGGACTGAACTTCCACAGTCTGATTATTTCTCGTCTTAATTAACTACGGGAAATAACCCAACACAGCAAACGACTTTAAAAACTGGTTAATCAGTTTAATCTGTGAAAACACCTGGGAGAAATACAGACCAGGGGAGAAAAGGAGCTCAGTCTAATGTGAATTTAATATGCAGAATGGAATTAAAGAGCAAGTCAAAAAGTTCTGAGGCCCTAATTAAGTAGTTCCTTCGACTTGAAAACATATGGAAGGGTTCTAATAGGGCTCTACGAGTTTACGCCCCTAGTGCACACAGGACCTAGGAATACCTTTAATAAACAACAAATGCTGTTGTCAATGTAGAACTGATGAGAGGGAAAGATATGGAACTTCTAATATCAAATGACCCGAACAGTAGCAATAATGTCACGCCAATTCCTGACAGCACCTGATACGAACCTGAGCATAGGCATTGAAAAGGGAAAAAACACATCGATACTTCTAGGCGGGTGTGGAAGTAGGGGCGATTTAGGTTTCGCATCAAGTGATAAAAAGCAATAACTTGCAGTTTGACTCTGCTATTTGGCCAGGGTTACTATAAAGTCACTGGTTATTACTAAATGGCGACATGCATTAGCAATGTCTGCAGTTTGATGAAGAAAAACTCTCTGTCTGTTTCGCTCCATTTGTGCAGCTAAGTCTGTCCAGGGCTTGTGAGCGCAATATTGGTTGTTTTTGTATGTCTAAGAGACCGTTAGAGATGGATGTATATGTACTGCAGCAATTTTTCAAGGAGCCGCGAAAACTGGAGACACCAAAAAAGTCAAATGCGGCACTCTTTACTGAGACCAACGCTCACACAGTTACACATTCGTAAGACTTAGTTTTTACGGACTGCTTTCTAATCGACTATCCTATCCAATCAAAATCAACTTAGCAAGCTTTGCCGACAGAAGCGGCCAGGCAAGTACCAGGAAGCAGTTCCGGAAGTACAGGCGATGGCTACGAAGATGGTCAAGAATCTTAATCATCTGTCTTACGAAATCAGGCTGACTGAACTAAATCTGTTTCCTCTCAATTACAGGCAACTGCGCGGTAATCTCATTCAAGCCTACAGGATTGTCCGAGGCCGTGAGTGCGTCCTTGACTTTGGTGAATTCTTCGAATTGGCCGGGGCTGACCGTCTGCGTGGTCATCCCTTCAGACTGCAGAGGAGGCTGGCTCATTCAGACGTCCGACGGAACGCCTTCTCTCACAGGGTCATTGGGGCATGGAGCGGACCTCCTGATGCGGTGGTTCTTTTCGAAACTGTCGAATCCTTTAAGTGTAGACTAGGTGCACATTTGCTGAGAAACTGTTGTACATATAATCACGATTGTAGCGGCAGTTTGCGCCTGACTCACACTGACCGCCAACTTTTGACTTTCCGCATTTGCTGATGTAATTATTGATTCTTTTTCTGGTTATCGATATGAATAGGGAGCTCAAGAGCAAAAGCCTGGAATAGGCTATTGACCTGACCTTCCGGATTCTCACTCAAACCCATAATCAGCGGCAGTCGCAGATAGGGGTAATGGTGACACAAGGAGTGCAGTATTTATAGCACGTGGTTGCCGTGGGACAAAATGCGCACTGCGATTAACAGCTCTCGCAATCACCGCTGGGGTCGCAATTGATGCGATGGTGGCTTGTCAGACCGCATCCGAGTCGGCTCCTTCTTAACGTGACCTCTGGCACTCTCACGCATGTGAGGAGTGTGCATGTATATGGGTAATGTCTCTTGGTAGCTGACTAACTGGTTACCTGGCCTTTGAAGGGTGATGGGCCAGACAAATACAGGGTCCCCGCTGGTGGATGCGCTTGAGCTCCCACTGGGTATACAGGTCGTGTGTATGGTTGCCCAGTGACTTGTGCCATCCTTGTCTTTCTGGCCCACTTTTGTTGTTGGCCAAAATTCTGGTAAGGTATTTGTTCTGAACAAGGAGGTGTGGTGGTGCGCCTAGGTGCGGGTCCGGCCGCGCAAGCCATTTGCGTCCCCTTCCGTTCTCGGTCGTCTTGACTATGCCTAGACACCGAGCCCGCGGCGCGGGAGGAGGAAAGAATGTAGCAGATCCAGTGCAAGTCGACTACTTCCATAAACTACTTCACGCACAAGTCACTGTGCCGCGAAAAATCCACTGCCACGGCAGGAAACACCGGGAGTCGTTTACCGGATCTGGTGAAGCCCCGGAGAGAGCAACTACGTCGGTGAAACTGGGATATTACTTCAAACGCGGATGGCCAAGGACGCAGCAGCAGTGAAAAGGAAAGAAAAGCTCTCAGGTGGCGGCAAATTCGACGGACGGGGCCGAAATTCTCGCAAGAAGACACTCAACACGGATGACGAAATTGCGGCGATTATCGACTCGGACGCGGACTGACAAGTCACCATCGTATCGATTACGACCCCCAGCGGTAATCGCGGGAGCTGCTACTTGCAGTTCGCGTGTGCTCCCACGACAACTACATACTACAAATACCGCACTTTTTGTGCCTCCACTACCATTATCTGCAACTGCCTCGGATGATGTGTTCGAGCGAGAATCCGAGACTTTAGACCAATAAACTTCTTGTGCAAGCGATCATAACTTTTTAATTTTCTTAGAAGGTTTTGTTCAACCAATGCTGCCAGGATCTTTGCCACTGATGGTCCACTGGAGCAGTAGAGTGTACATCAATAAAATTAACTTATATGCTAAGTTTAACAATATAAAACGAGATTTGCCATGCTGAACGAGAACCTTTATTATGTGTCCTCCTTGACATTGAAGTGGCACCTATACGTTTTGGAAAGATTCGAGTTCAAAAAATGGGTTCCACAAAAACACTCCATTTTCGCAGATCGCAAGAGCAGGAAGGCGCCCGTAGACCTCCGAAGG